GAGCCCTGCCCCCCCACTGAGATTCCTGGGACCCCCCCCCTCCCAGTGACTGGGGCCATCCCCCCACAGAGCCCCTGCCCCCGCCCCCCCGGACTAAGAGCTCCGGGACATCCCTTGTGACTGGACCCCTCCCCCCACTGAGAACTCTGGGGATCTCCTGCCCCTCAAATGACTGGGGCTTGACCCCCACTGAGCGCCCTCAGTGGTGGTTCTCTCAATGCTCTTTCACTGACCTAAGTTTGCACATGGTTCTATAATACAGGGGGTCTGGCGGGAGTAGGGGTAGCCTTTAACTTTTACTTCCTGCTTCACCATTATGCCTATGCAGTTTTCTCTGGGTGGGCCTGGAGTGGGACTTGAATCATTGGGTTCTACTGGCACCTTTTGGAAATCATCATGTTTTATAGTAAAGGTGAAAATACTGTTCTTCTCAATATTTGTATTGAGAGTTGTTATCACGGTGTAGGAATTAAGTGAGCAGCTAGATGTTCAGCTTAATAGAAAAATACACTTTTCTGTCACAGTGCAGCATGCACACTTTCCCGTCACGCTAACTTTATTGCAATTAGTTCAGGCACATAGGTTTGAATTAGTGCGCCACTGCAGGCTTTTAGTGCAGAAAAGTTTACAACTCCATAAGAAAACAGGTTGATTTTCAAACTGCACCAGTGCTTTAAATGCAGTTCTAGCCAATTGAGTTGTAATGTTCCCGACTCTTCAGGGAGCAGCTGCAAAATGTCTGTTTCAGAATTAGAATTATGGCTCCTAGTCAAAACTGCAGTGGGAGGCAGACATGAAAACAAAATGTGGTAGGCGGTCTATTGAGAGAAAATGATTAAGCACCAACAATTGTGTTTGGTGCTGTATAAGACACAAGTGTACATTCTTGAATGCTGTTTCTCAATGACTGGTCCCTCAGATCTCCCTGACACAGTTTAGGAAGGCAGCAAGCCACTCCCTGGTATCAAAAAGGTTGAGAAACATTGGTCTAGAAAACTAAATATAGTGATTTGTTTACCCATTATGGAAGATGTGGAAAGGACTAATTTCCAGAAACACCTATTAGATGCCAGGTAATGATTTACCCTTCTTATATTTACGGTGTCAGTGATCTTCTGTTTTCCAGGGGGAGCAATTGAAGTATTGCTTTCCAGCCACTAAAATGGCTTGTTTGGCATCAGCTTTAGGCCTTAGTTCAAGGCATGTTTACCCAATTCTGTATGACACTGAACTCCTCCCTGTCCGTCCCCCCCGCCCCAAACTAATATATGCTGAAAAGTTGACCTTCCCGAGCATCACTTGATAGGATGTAGGAGAAGTCCCATATTCTTCTGAATTATGTAGATCCCAGGCCTTATTTTGATCATGAGAAGTAATTTCAACCTAACCATTTCTGTGATTTTGACCTTTTCTAAAAAAGGTTTGCTCTCCATCATCAATTTAGATGTCCCTAACCCAATACCTACACTGGTGATGTAATTGAAGCTCTGTTGGTTTGGAGCTGAGAGAGAAATTGCTTCCATGCTAAAGCCTTGTCTTCACTTAACCTGGCAGAGCTATGTCAATTAGGGGCGTTTATTTTTTTTTTTTTTTAACTTAACATAGCTATGTCAACAAGGCCCTGTAGTGTACATGCAGTTTTGCCAGTATAGCAACATCTGCACTACAGACTGATGCTGGCACAGCTATGTCAGTCGGGGGGGTGATCCTTGACTGACATAGTTCTGCCGGCAGAAGTCTAATGCAGGTGGAACTATATTTACAAAACTGAGCTTTTACCATAGCAGTTCAAAGTGCAGCTTTGCCAAGATGTCCAAGGAGCGCTTGGCCAGTACAGTATACGAGTATTGCATACCTGTAAAGCACCCCAGTGTAGACGTAGCCTAAGTCTGCTTATACTGGTACAGTGTATGCTGCTTCCCTGAACCAGCATACGGCCTGGTGTACACTAGATAATTAGTTCAGATTAACTATGTCGGTTGGGGTCTGAAAAATCCATTGAGCGGCAGTTCATCCCCCCTAAATCTCTCTGTACATAGTGTCAACCTAGTTACCACCTCTCAGGGAGGCGGATTACCTACACAGATGGGAGAATTCCCTCCCGTTCATGTAGGTAGTGTCTATGCTGAAGTGCTACAGTGGCGCATTATAAGCTGTGCCACTATAGCATTTTAAATTAGACAAGCCCTAAATTATACGTGCTGCGGACCTGCAGGATTGGTCGACGCTACACACGGCTCATGCAGCGCCTCATGGTCTCAGACACCATCCAATGGTCCAGGGACATCTACATCAAGCACATCACCAGCCACAGACCAGGAGGCGTGAGCCAGAGTGACATCGTTCTTCAACTGCGAGAAAGGGACCAAGAGACTTTCTCCGTTGGATCATATGAACTGGAGCCATAAACTCCCTGAACATTAAATCCCACCAAATGAGGGTCAATCCATCCTCATCATCATATCCACTCATTATACTCCACAACCGAACATAGCCACTTTATGAACCTCATATCTCAATGCCTGTACTTTGACCCATCAACCTTTTACCCCCAATCGGGGATATTGCAGATTATGTATTCCTTATGCCACCTGATCTTAAACCAAACTTTGCATCCTCGATAATCTGTATGTTATTCCCTGATAACCAGAAACTTCTATGCTTAAACTCTGTACCGTTCACTTTTTTTTTTAACAACATCATCTTAATAAAAATGTATAAATCTAAAAGTGCTTACACAACTGCATCCGCACTAGAAGGTTTTGCTGGTGTAACTATGCTGGGAAAACCCTCCTAGTATAAAGACAGCATAAAACCTTGCCTGCTAAAGTTTGTGAGCACCAAGGAGGTGTCTGTAGCTGATGCCCTTTCCTCCAGCAGTTTCTTCCCTCTGGATTTGTAGTTCAGTAATAGTCATTAAATGCTTAGAAGAGATTGTTTATAATCTGTTCTATGTACCATAGAGTCTTGTATCCTGACATGGGAGCTCTTTAAGGCAACACTTCTGTATCCAAGACAATAACTTGAATTCTTTCCTGTGGGCATCTGTTTCAGAATGCGTTACGTGGCCGCTTACCTGCTTGCTGTCCTGGGTGGCAACAACAACCCTACAGCCAAGAACATCAAGAAGATCCTCGACAGTGTTGGTATCGATGCGGATGACGAACGTGTCAACAAGGTTGGTTTCTTTGCATTAGTCTCTCTCTTGCCTTTTGAAGTTGTTACAGGAACACACTTCTGAGAGAATATTTGAAGCAGTCATCTTACACTTCAGTACCATACAGAATATAATGCCCTCGTAGTTTAATAAACGGGCTTGTTAAACTTCTTTCTTGGTCTGTATAGCTTTGGAAAAGCCTAAGAGTTCTTACAACTT